TGGGAAGACGAGTGCCAGCTATGTGCCAGCTATACCAATCCTCATCCAGTTGCCAGAGCACTGACATTCCACCACCTTCTTGGGGATTATCACTGGGTGTAGCACCTACTTGCTTATGGCAGGAGCTTCTTTGGCGCACATGTGGCAGCCCAGTCCAATGAAAGGACTCCCCTATTCGTGTTGCGGGAAAATGTGTCATGCTACATGGTCGTATAAATAGGGCCTTAAGGCTAGGATCACACTTCTGCGGGTTATGGACACTCGCAAAGTTGCACATATTTCCAACCTGTAGGCAAATGGTGCCCTTTAGAACAGGGGCCTCCAAACTTTCTAAACAATGGGCCAGATCACTGTCCCTTAGACAATAGGGGGGGTTGGACCATGGCAAATGGAAAATTCCCCAGAGTCAATGTAAATAATGCATCAGACTTGGTGAATCAGTAAGAGGGAAAAAAAAAAAAAAGAGTACCTGTGGTCAGTAGGAGGAAAAACAGTGTCCCATAATTGGTGTTAATGGAGGAATGGTGTCCCATCATTGGTGTCGGTGGAAGAAATAATACCTCATCGTTGGTATTAGTGGGAAGTATCATGCCCCATTGTTGGTGTCTGTGGAAGGAATGGTGCCTCATTGTGTCAGTGGGATGAATAGTGCAACAAGGGCAGGCAAAAGGCAAGCAAAGTGCTGTCATTTGTAGACCACTGCTCTAGAAAACGCACATTGATTCTTAATGGTTCCCTCCACATTAACAAAATGCCCAGATTTTCCAAACTCCATGTAATTGTGCGCAGTGTGATTAAAAAACAAAAAGGGTCCAGGACCTTTTTTACAAAATGTTTCTGCAGGAATGGGCTGCCCTACTTACAGAACAGGGATTGTACAGATATCAACTGAGCCTTAAAGTGGCTGTAAACCCTTACAATATGCCCAGTGAAGTGACTGGCCTCGGGTGATACACAGAGATTAAACAAATCCTCTTACATCAGTTGTAGCTGTCTATCTGCAATCTTTTCTTCTCTACATCTATTCCAAGTGCTGAATGTATTAAGCTTGTTTGAGCTTCCAGAAAGCAGTGGGCGCAGAGCAAAAATTATACACAATGAGGGAAGAGAAGCTCCTCTTTCACAGAGAAACAGCTGAGGATGTCAATTTGCTGGAGCTCCCTCCCCTGTCACCATTTTTCTCTTGGTGTCAGGGAAAACTTGTCAGAAGTGGTTCATCCTTATAGCAGAAGCATGAGGCAGTGGATAGAAAAGACACTTGATTGAGACAAGTACACATAGAGGGATATGCTTTGTTCATATTTCATGTCTGAGGTTTACAAACACTTTAAGCAGAACTCCAGGCATAATATTTTTTTCTGTGCTTATGGTAGTCCAGCTTGGCTCATTGTAATAACCCATATCAGATAATTAGGGGCCACAGGGGATGCTGAAAACTACTGTGGTGATTGGCAGGACTACAATGATAGCCGCCATCTTCCTGATCCTGTAACTTGTGTATACACGGGTTCTCTGTGAAAAGCGATCTGTAGAGCAGCAAGGAACTAAACATTTTTGTTTTTTTTGTATTCCTTCTCCCTTGCTCTTACAAAAAAACTAATCGTGTTTTTTTTTTTTTTTTTTTTTTTTTTTTTTTTTTTAATTATAAATCTGCATTTCCTGGATTCCAGCCTAGACTGGGCCCTGCTGCCTCCCAGTATAGCTGTAATATTGCTACAAGCAGTGTGTTACTAAGCTGCCACTAGCAGCATATGTGCACATGAAAGGCAGATTTGTATGCATGCACACAAATGCCGCCCAGCGGCATAGTGGCAACCTACCGGAAGCTGGCAGCATCCTGTTGACGCACAGAAATCCCCTGAACATATGCCCTCTAGTGCCTGCCGGGTCCTAGAGACCTGGAATACACCAGTGGCTCATATGTGCATAGTTTTTAAGATGGAGGCACAGAAGCGAGTCATTCATTCATTGCTTAAGTTCCACTTTCAGAAGGCGATGCTGCTGCCTCCTGAATGCCTGTTTTTCAACAAGATTACTGGACTGCCACTCTCTAGCATTTGGCTTTCCTTCTTTTTTTCCATCAGTACTGCCCGTCAGATATTACAGTCGCTGCCCTTCTGCATAATAACCTCAAGGGGTCACTCACTCTGCACTGCTGCCATTCACAGAACACCTATCATTATAATTTTTTTTTTTTCAATATATACAAGGCGCTTTCTCATTGGACAAGGGTAGCTCTTGGCATTACTGCCCAACCCACCACCCCATCCAATCAGAGAATGCCATTGTATTCATTGAAAAAAATACAAGGCATTCTGTGAATTGTAGCAGGGCTGAGCAAGTGACCTGTTTTCAGTGTGCACAGGGGAAGCTGCTCTCACAGGACCCGGAAGATCACGGCAATCACTGTATGGAGCACTGATTACTACAGAGGTTATCGGTGTCCCTCATGACCCTTCAGATATCAGCTGTGAATACCTGTATTGAGTCAAGCTAGACCACAGTAAGCATGGAAAAATGATAATTCTTGCAGTTCAGCTTTAACAAAAAGGAAAACATTCGTATTGAGAAGTTATGAAGCCTGCTATTGCTAAGCCTTCCTTATGAGTGGACTATGTTTCTGACTGTCATGTTGGTCTGTAATGTTTTTTTTTCCCTTTACATATGCACTGTATTTGTGTTTAAGGGATAAGTTCACCCTTGGGAACATGTTACATGTTCTATTAGTGTTTAGGATGGAACATGTAACATGTTCCCAATGCTGCAACCGCTGCCCCCCCCCTCATGACAGACATACGGGAGGAGAAGTTGCCCATACTAGCTGTCCCTTTTTAAAAACCATGCAGTTCCGCCCACACGGGCGTGTCATACATTCAGTGTTCTGTAAATGAATGAACTACATGTCCCGACAGCCTTAGTGGCTGTTGGCTTGTAGCTCTTAATGAACTACCATGGCAGTTCATTGATTCTACCTGTCATTATACAGTGAAGGAAATGAGTATTTGATCCTCTGCTGTTTTTAAATATTTGTCCACTCACAAAGAAATGATTAGTCTAGAAATCGAATGGTAGGTGTATTATAACACTGAGACAGAATAGCAACAAAAATTTCAAAAGAAATGCACGTCTAACAAATGATGGGCTGATTTACATGTTCATGAGCGAAATAAGTATTTGATCCCCTAACATTCAGCAGGATTTCTGGCTACCAGGTGTCTTTCATACAGGTAACAAGCTGAGATTAGAAGCAGTCTCTTAAAGGGAGTGCTGCTAATCTCATTTTGTTACCTGTATAAAAGACACCTGTCCACAGGAGCAATCAAACAATCAGATTCCAAACTCTCCACCATGGCAAAGATCAAAGAGCTGTCCAAGGATGTCAGGGACAAGATTGTAGACCTACACAAGGCTGGACTGGGCTACCAAACTATCGTCAAGCAGCTTGGTGAGAAGGTGACAGCAGTTGGTGCAATCATTCACAAATGGAAGAAACACAAAACAACTGTCAGTCTCCCTAGGTCTGGTGCACCATGGAAGATCTCACCTTGTGGAATGTCAATGATCGTGAAAAATCATGCCAGAACTGCATGTGAGGATCTTGTCAATGATCTCCAGGCAGCTGGGACCACAGTCGCCAAGAAAACAATTGGTAACACACTACGTCGACAAGGATTGAAATCCTGCAGTGCCCGCAAGGTCCCTCTGCTCAAGAAAGAAGATGTCCAGGCCCATCTGAAGTGTGCCACTGAATATCTGAATGATGCAGAGGAGGACTAGTTGAAAGTGTTGTGGTCAGATGAGACCAAAATCGAGCTCTTTGACATCAACTCAACTCGCCATGTTTGGAGGAGGAGGAATGCTGCCTATGACCCCAAGAACACCATCCCAACTGTCAAACATGGTGGTGGAAACATTCTGCTTTGGGGGTGTTTTTCTGCTAAGGGGACAGGACAACTGCACGGAATCAAAGGGACGATGGACAGGGCAACGTACTGTCAAATCTTGGGTAAGAACCTTCTTCCCTCAGCCAGGGCATTGAAAGTTTGAGTTGCCAAACATCAGCCACCAAACCTTAATGACTTGGAGAGGATCTGCCAAGAGGAGTGGGCCAAAATCCCTCCTGAGATGTGTGCAAACCTGGTGCGAACTACAGGAAACGTCTGACCTCTGTGATTGCCAACAAGGGATTTGCTACCAACTGCTAAGTCATGTTTTGTGAAGGGGCTCAAATACTTATTTCCCTTATGAACATGCAAATCGGTGCATAATTTGTTAGACATGCATTTTGAATTTTGTGTTCCTGTTCTGTCTCTGTGTTACAATACACCTACCATTTGATTTTTAGACTTATTTCTTTGTGAGTGGGCAAACATTCAAAATCAGCAGGGGATCAAATACTTATTTCCCTCACTATATGCTTGCCTGTACATCCCATACAGGCAAGCAGATATACTGACAGGTCTGCAGGAGACCTGCATGGAGCCACCGATCTGCTGATTGTTGGTGCAATGCTTTACAGGCTCCTCCAACCAAAAATAATGAATACACATTTCTTTTACCGGCAACAAATGTGCATTTATTCTTTTTGGTCAGAAGATGAACTTATCCTTTAAGATAGCACTATCGCATACCGAAGTACAGCAGCAGCAACCATTCATGCCAGTGGTAGGCTGTAACTGGACTGCTCAGGCAGAGGAGATTCACCAGCAGGGTGGGCTAGGAGGGTTTAAAATGCAGCTCTTGTATATATGTTGTGTGGCGCAAAAAATATATTTGGCAATCTTTAGTATAACAGGCCAGTCATTCTAACATCTGTGGCTGAAACACATTTTGTAAAAACGTGATAAAAAAATTATTGTTGACGAATTACAAAATTAGTGCAAAACCATTATAACCGGTTCATAGTGAACTGTTTTTGGTGTATTGTAAGTTTCAGTGGGTTTGGTCCTGAATTTACAAAAATCATTCTTGATATTTTTCTAGTTAAGAAAAAGAACAAGATGTCAAAAATTCGACGGAAGGTCACAGTAGAAAATACCAAGACCATATCGGATAGCACATCACGTAGACCAAGTGTTTTTGAGAGGCTTGGGCCTAGCACTGGCAGTAGTGCAGAGGTAAGAGTAGAAAACCTCCTAAATGAAAGCATTTAATTTTTTATTTCAGCTAAACGTGATCTGATTCCATACCTCCCATATTTTCAGACGCAGTGTCGTAACTGGATGAAAACTGGAAATTGTGCTTATGGTAATACTTGCAGATTTATTCATTCACCAAGAGGAAAAGGATTTAGTGGATCTTACCGAAGGTAATTTGCATATTTATTTTACCTTTTTAAAATAATTACTGCTGTTGTGTTGTGTTGAGAAGGTATGTGTGGTTTTGTTTACTATCCTCCAATATATCAACTTTTCCGTCGTGAAATCTCAGTTATGATTGCCAAAACTAGTGTACTCCTAGTACTTTACTGTGCTCTAGTGTCCTTTTGTAAGATTTTGTTACTCCACATTCTCTGGGATCTCATCGGAAGCAGCATGACATCAACCTCTGTAATCTGGAAGCCTGGAGGGTAAAGTATATTGAATCTGATTTTATGGCAAGGTCTGCTTTAAAGTGGTTCTAAAGGCATATATATATAACATTTTTTTTTTTTTTTTTTTAATAATCATGTTCTACTTACCAGCTGTGAGCAGTAGTATTGCACAGAGCAGCCCCTTTCTCTTTTGGGTGTCCCCTGTTTGCTCCTCCTCTTCTGAGTGTCTCCATGGCAAACCTTGTGCTATAGTGGCACTTGTGTGGTCATGCTCCTGAACCAGGCTGTGTGCATCCATAGACATACGGCATGGCTTGGCCCTACCCGCATTCCTTTTTCACAGGATTTGATTGACAGCAGCAGGCGTTAGTGGCTCTCACTGCCTGTGTGAAAGAGAGAGAGCAGCGCTGCTGCAGACAGGCACATCATTGGATCGAAAGGAGAGCCAGGTAAGTATTTCAGAGGATGGGGGCTGGGGAGAGCCAGGTAAGTATTTCAGAGGATGAGGGCTGGGGGGAGCTAATCATGGAAGACTTTTTACCTTAATGCAGAGAATGCATTAAGGGGAAAAAAAAAAAAAAAGTATGCTTTTACAACCACTTTAAGCACGTTTTTTTTTTTTTTTTTTTTTTTTTTTTTTTTTAGTTTATGCACATGGTTTAGAAGAACAGAACATTTGGAAAGTTTGGAATTGGTGAAAAGTTCATTTTGATATGGAGAGTGAACACTTTCTGTGGTCTTTGTAAGCCTCTGGTGATGTAGGGTATAGCATCGACAGTTCTAATTCTTTGGAATAACTAGATTTTGACGTTATTTTTTTGGTTGTTAATTGATTTTGAAGGTTTATATAATTTAGCATTCGTTTCAATATTCTGTGCTCACAGGTCACCAGATAGGCCAACTGGAGATCTCCGTGAGCGAATGAAAAATAAGCGTCAAGAGGTTGAGACAGAGCCACAAAAACGTTCTGCTGAAGAACCAGCTTCACCTTCCCGGGTATGGTTAATCTTTTTAGTGGAGAGTATTTTTGCTTCAAGTTTGTCCAGATCTAATCTGTAGTGTTGTGTTTTTTTTTTTTTTTTTTTTTTTTTTTTTTTTTTGCGCAGTGGAGGCATTTCATGTGATAAGTGTGCATTCATGATTGTATCTTAATCTTCTGTTTTGTGGGCATTGTTTGCTGAAAATTCTGGTATCCCATCATCCTATACTCCCCAGTTTTTTTTTTTTTTTGTTTACCTAGTGGTTTCTACAGCCTGTGTTTACCTCAGAGGGCAGGGTAGTTTCAGGGAGTCCTCAGTGTGAAAGTGGATAATGCTGATGTAGTTGGAGGGGGTTTGGGGTGCAGTTGGTTCTGCTACTGCAGGGGAGTGATGCCCTAAAAAATAAATTGGTAGGTGTTGCAATTTTTGTATGTCACTTGGTATTTGCGCAGTGGTTTTTTCAAACACAATTTTTTTGGAGAAAATACACTTTTTGGATTTTACTGCACAAAACACAATGCATAACCCAATTTTTTAAATAAAAATATGAAAGATGATGTTACTCCAAGTAAATAGATACCAAACATGTCACGCTTTTAAAATTGTGTACGCCTGTGCAACGGCGACAAATTACTTACATTTTACTATCCGCTATAACGCTATAAAAACCTTTACAGGTTGCCTTTTTAGATTTACAAAGGAGTTGTGGTGCTAGAATTACTGCTTATAATCTGATTATCACCTGTGTGGGATGAGTGCTGTTTGCTTGTGTGTGGAAAAGGCACTTTAAATTTTTTTTATTTTATTTTTACACTGCTTTAAAAAAAAAAAAAAAATTTCTGTGGAAGGAAAAAAAAAACATCCTTTGTGACAGCCAATAGGTGCGACAGGTACTCTTTTATGGGGACCCCAGATCCCTCCACTGCCCTTAAAATCATTTGATCACACAAAGATCAGTGTGATCAACTGCTTTCCATTTTTAAATGGTGCCATATACATCCAGGGAAACTGGAAGTGACGTTTGTTTCTGGTCTTTGTCCACCTCAGTAGTCATACGGTGGAATCGCTGGATGCTCATTCAGGTGGGATGGGACAGCCCTCCCACTGCTTGTAAAAGTGATGCACTAACTAGCCACTTGGATTGCTTTTACAGGATAGCTGACCATTGGCTCTAACAAAAGTAAGCCTTTGCCTGCAGCAGAGCTAAATGTAAAAAAACAAAACACCTTGGCTCCCAGACCTGCATTTTTCCTTGGCTTCTTTATGCACATTAATACAATTTTTAGCTGGGGTGCTCAAACTTTCGATCCCCGCTGTATATGTGATATAACAGTAAGTGGTCTTGCCATGCAAGAACACTTAATAAAACAATATTTATTGAAGTCCATTAAAGAGAATGGTGGAAAAGAAATTCCATCATTCTTTTTCATGGACTTAAATATGTTTATAATCGTGTTTGAAGTACGATGCCTTTAACCACTTGGTAACTGGGCTATAGCCGAATGATGGCTTCAGCACAGTTACCCAATTCTGGGAGGGCATCATATGACGTTCTCCCAAAACGCGCCCTCGTGCACACCCGATGATCTAGGTAAAAGGCCAATCACAGCGGCCCTTTTACCACGTCGTCAGCTGTGTCCAATGACACAGCAGATTACAGAGTAAATATAGTTGCCCGTTACCAGCAGCACTTTCCTCACACTTTCAAAGCATGAGAAAAGTACTGCTGATAACTGGCAGCTGTCAGAGGAGATTGGAACTGATCATCAGTGCTGCCCAGCAGTGCCACCAGTCAAGGCTGTCAGTCAGTACGGCCTATCAGTGACCATCATTGCAGCATCATTGCCGCCTCATCAACGCACACAAGTGAAGGAGAAAAATGTACCTGTTTGCAAAGTTTTATAATAGAAAAAAAAACTTTTTTTTTTTTTTTCCCCCTAATTTGTTTTCTTTTTTTGTTTATAGTGCAAAAAATTAACAGTGGCGATTAAATACCACCAAAAGAAAGTGTTTTGTGTGAAAAAAAAATTACAAAAATTTCACATGGGTACTATGTTGCATGACTGCGCAATTGTCATTCAAAGTACGACAGTGCTGAAAGCTGAAAATTGGGTACAGTCCCTTATTTTTGAAAATAATTTCCTTTTTGTCTTGGTACTTATTGGGATTTGGTATCGTACGCCTATTCCCTGACATATGGTAATATTTTTCGTCTTGTTTGGTGTTATATTGTGTTAGAGTGCAATAGGATTCATTAAAGTGTATTTTTTCCCAAAAAATTGCGTTTGAAAAACCGCTGTGCAATACCGTGTGACAAAAAATGTCCGGGGGTTTTTAGTAATTTTCTAGAAAAAGATGAATTTTTTTTTTTTTTTTTACATCTAGGAGAGGAATGTCAGAATTGCCCAGTAGGCAAGTGGTTAACGGAGCAGACATCGGAGCTTTATTTTGGCTGCTCAGCATGCGCTTGTACTGAGCACCCAATTCTGTGTGAGGGTAACCTAAGGAATTAAGTTGTGGTTTTTTTTTTTTTTTTTTTTTTTTTTTTTTTTTTTTTCTCTCGTGGTCAGTGCGTCATTTACTCGCTCAGTAGATGCACTTCTGCTGAGTGTTGAGAGCAGACACTCCCCTTTCCTGGCGAGCATCCAATCAATGCTTGTCACACTGCAAGGTCTCTCCCCTCCCTGCTAGTCCATGGGTGTGGTGCTGGAGACAGGCAGGGAGGTGAGTAGGAGATAAACTTTTAATGTTTGTAACGTTGCGCTGTTTGTCGCCATAAAGCCCCTTTCATTTATAAAAGTACCAGACATTCCTAAAAGCACCTCTGCCTATTTAAAAAAAATGAAAAAATAAAAATCCTTCCTGCTATCAAAAAAGACATTTAACCTCTTTGCGCCGGGCGAACGCAAATGTGCGGCCTCCTGGCGCCTGGGCCTAGACACCGAGCAGCCGCACATTTGCATTCTATGAAAAAAAAAACGTACTGAGAGCGCGTGCCCTGTGCGCTCCTGATTTTAGTCCCTTGAACGAGTAGTTTTTTTTTAAAAATGTCCACACCCCTGCTAATAGACCCCATAGCTCTCAGTAATGGGGACCTCTCATGCTTATTGCTATCACAAGGGATGTTTTGATAAGATAAAGGAAAAAATGCATTTGAAAAACATTTTGTGCAAATACTGTGTAACATAAAAAATGTGCAACACCCACCATTTTATTCTCTAGGGCCTCTGCTAAAAAATGTCATGTTTGGGGGCTCTAGCAAAAAATACTGATTTTTAGTTGTAGAAGTGTCAGAATAGGCTGTCTTTAAGTGCTTAAATAAGTGAAGTCAGAAAATTTAAAAAGTTGTGGTTTAGACACAGTAAACCCAAATCAAAATGCCCATTTATGGTTTCTGCATATCAAGAAAACAATACAAAAAAAAAAGTGGGAGGGGGAGTGGCACTCTACAAGTATAATCCAATTTGAAGGTACTACATCCTAGACAATAAACTGAAGAAACTCCCTACCAAAGAAGCTACAGGACTTTAAAGGAGAAGTACAGCCAAACCACTTTTGGTTGTTCTTTGGATTACAGGAGTGTGGTTCATTCTGCACTCCTTTTACCCGTTTTCAGCTGACGTCGGGCTTTGGTCGCTGTTGCTCAACTGGTCCAGGCTGGGGAAAGATCCTGACTTTAAAATCAGGATCCACTCCAGATTCTGGAGTGGCACCTAGCTCAGCCTCTCAGTGAGCCGCTTATAGCCTTAGCCAGCTGTTCCCTCCCCATCTACAACCCAGCGCTTAAGTGAGTGCGCGGGGGTGAGGGCAGACAGTGGTGAGAACCCAGCAGTCATGTAGTCGCTGTGTTCTCACTTAGAGCTGGCGGGGCACAGATGCAGCGTCGGTCCGCCTAGGTAAGTATAATTTTGGGCCAAAAAACCCAAACTTTGGGCCAAACTTCTCTGTTTAAAGGTACCAAGTCACAAACTCACAATTTTTTTTTTTTCTTCTTCCATTTATAAATTTGTACTAATGTATTATATTGTACAAAGTACAATATTTTACCCCAAGATATACCAATACAGCGTTATAAATGTACAAATTCTCTTTTAAGCACGTGGTATGGAAATATAGATTATTGGGATTTCAGACTTCAATGTGTTTCTCAGGTCAGTGCCCTCTTCTTCAGGAAAAGATGGGGGAATAGTCTGTTGTACAGATCACAAGATATTTAAACAGACATACAAGAAAATATACATCTTACAGAGGGGACTTGCCCATACCTACCTTCAGGACAGCAATCAAACATAGGAGACCAAGTTTAACCACTTGCCTACCAGGCACTTATACCCCCTTATGTACCAGGCCAATTTTCAGCTTTCAGCGCTTCCGCACTTTGATTGACAATTGCGCGGTCATGCAACATTGTACCCATATGAAATTTTGATAATTTTTTTCTCACAAATAGAGATTTCTTTTGGTGGTATTTAATCGCCACTGGGCGCTTTCCTTTTTGCGCTATAAATAAAAAAAATGCAAAAAAATTGAAAAAAAAAAAAAAAGTTTTGTTTGTTTCTATTATAAAATTTTTCAAACAGGTATTTTTTCTCCTTCACTGATGTGCATTGATGAGGCAACACTGATGGGCACTGATAGGTGGCACTGATGGGCACTGATAGGCAGCACTAAAGGGCACTGATAGGCAGTACTAATGAGGTGGCACTGATAGGCGGCACTGATAGTCAGCACTAATGAGGTGTCACGGATAGGCGGCACTAATATGCAGCACTAATATCATTGGATTCAGGTGTTTTAATCGCCTCCATGGCCACAGGTGTATAAAATCAAGCAATTAGGCATGCAGACTACTTCTACAAACATTTGTGAAAGAATGGGTCGCTCTCAGGAGCTCAGTGAGTTCAACCGTGGTACCATGATGATCGGTGCCGATCCCCGCTCTGACAACTGCCGGTTCTCGGCAGTACTTTCCTCACGATCTGACAGCGTGAGGAAAGTGCAGCCGAGAACCGGCACTTGCATTTCCCTCTGATCAGTGTGTCATTGGACACCGCTGATCACGTGGTAAAAGGCCGCTGTGATTGGCCTTTTACCACATCATGTGATCAGCTGTGTCCGTAGGACACAGCGATCATGGAGATCGCCGGGTGCGCGCCCCCTGGGGCGCGCAGGAGAGCGCGTTCTGGGAGGACGTCATATGATGTCCACTTAGAACTGGCCGGCCGCAGTGCAGCCGTCATTCGGCTATCTGCGGTCGGCAGGTAGTTAAAAAAAAAAAAAAAAGCGGTGTTCCCTGTAGTAGCTGCATCACATCTTCTGGTATATTAACTACAGAGGAATGGCTCCATATTTCAGCCAATCAAGCAGTAAAACCATCCAAAACTTGTCTTGTCAAATGCTAAAGTAAGAAGAGATATTGTATAGGAGTATGCTATGTAAATAATTAACCAGATATAACCGGTAGGCAGGTACAGCATTCCTAGTTCAGATTTATGAAAAAAACACCTGCTTAACCTTGGATTTACACTATATTGCCAAACCTATTGGGACACTCCTTCAAATCATTGGATTCAGGTGTTTTAATCACCTCCATGGCCACAGGTGTATAAAATCAAGCACCTAGGCATGCAGACTGCTTCTACAAACATTTGTGAAAGAATGGGTCGCTCTCAGGAGCTCAGTGAGTTCAACCGTGGTACCATGATAGGTTCCCACCTGTGCAATAAGTCAAAGCGTGACATTTCCTGGCTACTAAATATTCCACGGTCAGCTGTTAGAGGTATTACCACAAAGTGGAAGCAACTGGGAACAGCAGCAACTCAGCCACGAAGTGGTAGGCTAAGTAAAATGACAGAGCGGGGTCAGCGCATACTGAAGCACAGTGCGCAGACGTCACCAACTGTCTGCAGAGTCAATAGCTAAAGACCTCCAAACTTCATGTGGCCTTCAGATTAGCACAACTACAGTACGTACAGAGCTGCATGGAATGGGTTTCCATGGCTGAGCAGCTGCATTCAAGCCTTACATCACCAAGTGCAATGATAACATTTGATACAGTGGCATAAAGCATGTCACCACTGGACTCTAGAGCAGTGGAAATGTGCTCTCTGGAGTGACGAATCACCCGTCTCTGGCAATCTGATGGATTTGTGTGGGTTTGGTTGCCAGGAGAATGATACTTGCCTAATTGCATTGTGCCAAGTGTAAAGTTTTGTAGAGGGAGGATTATGGTGTAGGGTTGTTTTTCAGGGGTTGGTAAGGCGGCAGCATACCAAGACATTTACTTGGTGATGGCCCCTTTCTGTTCCAACATGACTGCACACCAGTGCACAAAGCAAGGTCCATATAGACATGGATGAGCGAGTTTGGGGTGGAGGAACTTGAGTGGCCTGCACAGAGTCCTGACCTCAACTTGAGAGAACGCCTTTGGGATAAGTTAGAGTGGAGACTACAAGCCATGCCTTCTCGTCTGACATCAGTGCCTGACCTCACAAATGCACTTATGGAAGAATGGTCAAACATTCCCATAGACCAGCGATGGGCAAACTACGGCCCGCGGGCCGTATACGGCCCGGCGGACCTTTTAATCCGACCCGCGGAGCTAGGCTCCCGCTAGGCTCCTCTCACAGTCCGCCCTGAAGACCGGTGTAGCATGAAAATCTGTCTCCTATGAGGATCTGTCCCCCTCGACGTATCTGCGCATGTGCCGGAGATCGCCGATCGGCTGCTAATGCCTGAAACTGGCACATGCGCAGATACGTCGAGGGGGACAGATCCTCATAGGAGACAGATTTTCATGCTACACCAGAACGGCGCGGGAACATGGCGAGAGGAACGCGCGGAGCAAAGGTAAGTGAATTGACACAGGGGGGACTTGGGGACTTAATATGGGGGATGAATTACTATATGGGGGATGAATTACTATATGGGGGATTAATTACTATGCTTACTATGGGGGAATATTACTATACTTACTATGGATGACACATACACATCCACATCATTAATCTACTACTAGTCTGGCCCCCGGGTCCAATATATGAACCCATTGCGGCCCTCAAGTCAAAAAGTTTGCCCATTCCTGCCATAGACACACACCTAAATCTTGTGGACAGCCTTCCTAGAACAGCTGAAGCTGTTATAGCTGCAAAGGGCGGGGCCAACTCAATATGAAACCCTACGGACTAAGACTGGGATGCCATTAAAGCTCATATTTGTGTAAAGGCAGATGTCCCAATAAGTTTGGCAATATAGTGTATTTGTGGGGTGTTTATTAATGGATATAGTGCAGTAAAATTATTTACTAAGGCTGTAGAGGCATATAACAGAAAATCTAGATAAAAACAAATAGGTATATCCATAATTGGGTTGTACACAACTGCATGAATTGCACCAGGTTTGATTGGTTTATGTTAAGTCAAGTTCACCCATGTACTGTAGAAATACCTATAATAAAATGATAGACTGATTTCTCCAGACGTGTGTGTTTATTTGTGGCAGTGTTGTTTTGTTGCAATGACATTTAATGGTACTTGCATGGTTCAACCATGTCTCGTTGTTTTCCTGTAGAAGGAGTCTTCCAGGGGAAGACACAGAGAAAAGGAAGATATCAAAATTACTAAAGAGAGAACTCCAGAAAGTGACGAGGAGGGTGGTGAATGGGAAACCACTAGAGAAGGTGAGAACATGGGAACAAAATATTTTGGGCATTTGTATTAAATATATGCTAACTTTATAACTTATACATTTTTTTTTTTTTTTTTTTTAATTCTTGACACAAGAATGGGGCAAAAAAATGTATTTGGCAATGGATATCAATATTGTGTGGTGGTTAATTTTGGTTTGAATTTTGCATGACACTGAAACATCTGTGAAGATGTGTGGGTTTTTTTTTTCTGTTTTCATGTGTATGCAAGGAAGACCTAAACGAAGAAGAAATGCTTACTGACTAGTGTGCTTCATATTGATGGCTTGCTGTTCTAAATGCGAATTACAGAGGGTGCTCTTACTATATAAAGTTGTACATAATATTGGCAATGTGCTGAAAAGTTTTTGATTGTACCTGATCTGCAATTGGTAAAAGCTCTAAATATAAGCAACAGGCAATCGGGTGTTTTTTCTTTTGACACAGTTGGCCAATGTGGAAAAATCTGTGAGTATGATGTAGGATAGAAAAACCTTTATGAAAAAACCCCATAGTGCTATTGTGAAATTTTTGTTGAGGGTCACACGTTTTTTTTAAAATGGCATTGGTTCAAGTGTGTCTAGCTGTAATAATGTAATACTGTTGGGGCATATGTACAAAAAATTGTTGCACAACCTTCAGTAATATTCCCTGAAATTTGTGTAATATGTTTTAATTCCTATGCTACTCCATCTAGTGGAGTAAAGCAGTATTTTTTCCTGAAATATTCCAATAAAAAAAACATAATAGGGCCAATGGATGGAGCCGATGATCATAGAATGTAAATGTACTACACAAATTACAGGTGTGGTGTTTTTTTTTTCTTTCTTCTTGCCGTAAGTAGACCCTATAGTGTCTTCATGTTAGAACATTTTGTGTTTTTAGACAGTCTTAATAATGTAGACGTGTTTGGAGGCCCATTGTAACCAAGTTTTTATTGCGGTCTGTTTCCCCACTGTAGTGTTATCTCCTCATTCCCTATATTAGTGACCATATATGAATTGAGAAGAATCCCTGCACAAGGGAGACAGACTGCTGCAACACTCAACATGGGGATTAATCCTTTCCTACGTTTATTAAAGCTCTTGTTGCTGCACATGTTCTCTGGAGTTATTCTACGGAATTTCTGGAGTTATTTTGCGGAAAATCTGTTCTGCCCTGTCATGGGAATTGCCATTGTTAACTATTTTAAGTTGGAAATACAGACATAAAGTGCAGTCTTTCTGTTTAATTAAAGTGATCTGGACATGCACTGATGTAGGCAGATGTAAATGGATGATCATTGTTTTACATCTGCAAGGCCATAGGAATGAATTACTGTCTGTTTTCCATCCGAAAATGGATGATGAACAGAACACCTATGTGAAAGGGCCTTTATAGGTATTGTATGCATAATGAATTTGATGATCCAGATTAAAAATCAGCTTTCCTGACACGGTGCAAGGGATGTTGTATGAGGAGCTTGCATTAGAGAAAACATATTGTCTGTTGTAATTGTTTAAAACATTTCCATTTCATAAATAAAATGGGGAATTTCAGCTTGTATTAGGGCCCGTACACACCATGGTGCAGAGATGTTGGTTTTTCCGTACATGTTCTGCAAGGGCACAACAAAATCAATTGTTCTGTGTCCTGTTTACACCACAACACTAGTATCACTTGCAGATTTTTTTCTGTGCAGGAATCTGCAACATGCATAAAACTCATTGAAGCTCGCATGAAAACTGATGTCTCTGCAAGTGAAATTAACACGTCAGTTTCCATCAGTTTTTCTGCACGTATGGTGTGAACAAGAGGCCTTAAAGTGGAAGGAATGCCTCCTATCCTTTGCAGCCAAGGAAATAGAGGCCAAGATGTTTTATCTGCAGTTGCCATGGGGTGTCACGTGTGATCTGTTGACTGTTCAGTTAAGAGCACTAGCAATTGACCGTTATCATTTATGGCATGCTTTTGAACAGAACTGTTTTCAGGGGACCATTAAATTGATGGGTTTAGTTCTGCTTTAAAGCAGCAAAAAACACAGAGGGGAATTTAGCAAAACTGGAGCAACCAGAAACTGGAGATATGCATGGCAATTAATCAACTTCTCTTTTTCCTTTTTAAATCTTAACTGAACAAGCTGAAGATAGCTGTTAGTTTGCCATGCATAGCTGCTCAAATTTGATAAACTCCTCTGTGTCTTATGCTGCTCCATACAGCATAAGACACAGAGCTATTTTCAAAGACAAAATTTCCCTTTTTAATTTTTATTTTATTTATTTAATTTTAATTTATCTTTTAAAAAATTTTTTTTTGCGCATCCTAATTAGATGTTTCCCATGTGTGGCTGTGTGCTGTATAGTGTAGTAGTCTTCTCCTTACTGCCGGGCAGGTCCTACCCACGATGCTGATCTTGTAGTATTGCTAGGGTTAACCTGAACTGCTGATTTGCCTTTAATTTCTGCTCCTTCCTTTTTATGGAACTTTCTTTCACAGAATGCAAAGTGCTCTGAGATTAGGGGAGGCAGAGCCTGCCATTCAACTGCCCATCTGCTGTTCAACTGCCCATCCTCCATTCACAGAATGCTTTGCATTCTGGGCAAGAGCAGTATGAATTCTGTGAATGGAGGAGATGGGTTGATGGGATGGGCAAGTTGCACAAGTCTTTCACATTTGCGGTGATGTTACAGTGAAACTAAAGTCCCATATTTATGGACTGCAAGCAGGTAGGCTCTTTTTTGCAATAAAAAAACCTACCTGCCTGCTCAATCGTCTTTTTGGTATGTACTGTGCTACTGAGATGACTGAACTGTTGTGTATCTAGAGATACCAGCGAGGGATGTTGGACTGTTAAAGCAAAGGTCAGTATCGGGACTTTAATCTTGCTTTTAACTCCAGCAGTGCCAGAAGATGTATGCTATGGAGAGAAGATCTCTACAATAAGTAGCAGTCAGACAGATATGGGGCACACTTGAAAAGAGTCGAGTTATGCCCCTGGTGCTGCACAGCAAATCAATTTTAACCAAATTTCAAATTTCTCTTACATGAATTGTGTTTAAATAATTGATCCTTGGTTTATATCTATTGCTGACTTGCGTATACATGGTGGACCCATTTAATTATTTTCCTAATGATGGTAAAATAAACTTGTATGTAATTAGAGCATTTAGACTTGATTGAAATTTATGCAGCAGGTCACAAGACTAGCTTGACTACGAATTAATTTTGCAACATCATTAAAGCAACTTTCACAATCAGAACTTTTAGAAAGTTGGGCTGAAGAATGCTCTTGCTGTTATGTTTGGCCACAAGCTCTCTTGCACAGTAGGGTAGGTATGTAGGCATACTTCAATTAGAGCGTGTAAGCAGTTCTTTCAAAATATAATCATGAGTTTAGCTGTATGCCTAGTGGCTAATTCTAAGTAGCTGTAATGCTCCTGCTGTGTTTGACTTTATTAAGGCTACAAATCCATATGTATAGCGTGCATTTCTTTTTGATGTCTTACAACAAGTCTTTTGTGATCTAAGCAGTGGCAAGAAACTTTTTTCTGGAGTAATTTTATATTTTATGATATATTCCACCGATATTGTTATCGGTTGCATTCTCTTTAGGGCAGTTGAGTAGTATCCAGTTCACTTTACCTCTACATGTCTTGTATTAGGTAATAAATATTGTCTTTAGGTGTGACTGTATAGGCACCCACCAAGCTATATAATTAATGAATATTCTGTGCTCCCAACCTGAAACCCATATTTTAAAAATTCAGGAGCTGTTCTAATATCTTAACGGGAGAACTAGATAAAATACAACGCTTACCATTTATCTTCTATCACAGTAGATTCAGATAACGGTGATGGCAGTTATGATTATGACCACGAATTATCATTGGAAATGAAGCGTCAGAAGATCCAACGAGAATTAATGAAACTGGAACAGGAAAACATGGAAAAGCGAGAAGAGATTGTCATAAAAAAAGAGGTATTTCTCAATCCAGAAAAAACGATGACGTATTTCTGTGCAACAAGATTTTGTTATGCATTTATTTTATCAATCATCTTGTTCTAAACCTTAGGTGAGTCCCCTGGTTTGCTTTTGGCTGGGTCTTACATGGCTTGTCAATCCTCTTGTTTGGGGTTCGCTATGGTGTTGTGGTTCTACTGTGAGACTTGAAGATTTTCATTAGAGTTAAAAGAAGCAGTTCCTTAATTTGATATTCTTTTTATATCTCGTAAAGCGTGAGGAACTGAGGGAAACCTCTGTCAGGTTTTTTTTTTTTTCTTTGTTAGGGGAGATTCTCCTTACTTCTCTCTTTGATGGGAACATAGAACACCTGTATTTTCTGATTTCTTGTTCGGGTGTCACTGGAACAAAGTGAGGGTGACGGTTCCCAATGAGGACACTTAAAACAGTAAAAACTTGAGGCATGCTAACCACTCTGTCAAAGTTTTTGTTGAGGTTGGGCTTTAATGTTTACCGTATGAAATTTATGTAATAAAAAATTAAATGGACTTTAAGACCTCATTAACACTTGTTCGTCATCCTAACACAAGTATTTTGATTTTGCAGCATAAGACAGCCCATTCATATGAATGGGCTGCCCATTGTGTGACAAAAAGCCCCAAAAGAAGCTTTCACCTTTTCGGATGGGGAGCTTTGTATTTCATGTGGTTTTGGAGTGCCGTCAACAATTAATGGCAGTGCAAGCACAAAGAGTGCTTTTCGCGTGTTCCTGGAATTGTACAGAAATGTGCATTTCAGGATAGCGCAGTTGTGAATGGGGCCAAGATAAGACCAAAGGATGGAGGGAGTATGTCCTCTTAACAGCTAAAAAAAAAAAAAAAAAAAAAAAAAAAAAAAAAATCAACTTTGGATTTCTCATCACTTTAGGTACTTGAAGACATTGGTCATCTGGACCAAAAGTGTAGGTACTGTATATCTCTTTACACACGGCAGTTAAGAACCCAACATTAACAGGTGCAACTCACTTTGCAATTAAACTGGTACTGGGCTCACCATTCCAGAGAGTCCGGAAATGGGAATTGTTAATGAAAAATTGTTTCCAATATCAGGTTTTTCAATATTTATGAAAAATTGTAATAGAAGGTAATGTTTTTTTATGAATTTGTGCGCTGTTCACTTGCATCTGCCTATCTGTGCTTTGGGAACTCCTGTATTTGGAAGTATTGGCAGAGAAAGGTGGTGTTGGAGAGATGCCTAATATGTAGCTGGTTTAGCCAATTTGCCAGATGCCCTTTTCTTAGGAACGGTGCAGGGAGGCTTCACCATGCATGGTGAGGAGATTGCCTTCTGAAGTTTTAAGGTTTCATCTTGGGAAAGTGGAGATCTAGCAGGGTGGCAGAACCAGTGGCAAGCAGCAGGGCTCACCTGTGGGGTGAAAGCATTCTGGCGGCAGCGCTGCCGCCTATTGATACTACACAGTCCCAGCATTACTTTCAGTGGAGCAGGGGGGAGACATTCAGGGTCTTTTAGACCTTGAATGTCTCAATAAAGAGAACCTGTCACCAAAAATCACCCAAAATATACGCACATACAAACGTAAAAGCACACGCTGGGGTGCCTACGCATGAAAACGATTGCAATACACAGGTTACATATTGCCGCACACTGCCAGAATGAGAGCAATAAATTTAGCACTAGACCTTCTCCATAACACTAAATTGATGACCTATAGGGGCTTTAAAAGTGTTGCAAATTTAAGTTTTTACATGTTGGATATCTATTTACTCCGTGCAACCTCATCTTTTATATTTTACAAAAAAAGGGTATTTTTTTTTTTTTTTTTTTTTTTTTTTTTTTTTTTTTTTTTTTTTTCTGCCCTAAAATTAACTTGCTTGTATTTGTAATGAAATTTTGCAGTAATATGCAACATACAAAATTGGAACTACCACTATTTTATTCTCTAGGGTCTCTGCTTTTAGAAATATATATGTTTGGGGGTTTTATGTGACCTTCAAGCCTAAAATGATTTTTTAAACCTGTGAAAAAAACGCAAAACCGGATCTGGCAGCAAAAGGGATAAAGGATAAGCCCGACACTCCCCTTCCCTGAGGAGCAGCCAATCTGTGCTCATTACACTCCAAGGTCTCTCTCCTCCCTTCTAGTCTCCAGCTGCCTTGCTGGAGACAGGCAGGGAGGGGCGAAGAAGATAAATAGCGCAATGTTAATATTACACCAGAAGTCCCTTTTTTTTTTTTTTTTTTTTTTTTTTTTTTTTATCAGAAAAAATAGATTGTCATGAGAGATAAAAATGCTTTTTGTCTGGTTTAGAAAATTTTAAATTGTAGCTCAAGGCCAGAGAGAGGTCATATGTTTCTAGTGCAGCTTTGCATGCATTTAAATATATTGTTTGCATGCAGTTCAAAATATATTGTTGAAAATGTTGTGAAAGTGCCTTCAGTTCTAACAAAAGTGTGCTCAGAAATCTCAGGCAGTGTGCCTAATCTTTAGGGTAAGCTCTTGTCTGGAAACTCTCAGCAGAGTTTCCAGACGAACACAAAAAAAGTAAATGTGTTTTTGCAGCGAACTAAAAAGGTGGAATTGTTCAGTAATAAGATTCACGGCTTTTACAAGCATTCAAGCAAGTATCAGTAAAAACTCTCTAAAAGACATGGATCTAGCTAAATAACTACTTACCACTTATTGATAGCTGCAGATTTTTGCTGTACATTCATCTGTTGACTCTACTTTTAGGTACTGTGGTAGTAAATCAAACACAAGTGGATTGCTGAATATTCCTAAAAAAGCTTCTTTGGTTCATTTGATGGTTGATAATGAAGTGCATAACTCAAGCTGTGAAATGTTGACCATGCTCCTCATTGATGAAGATATTAATGTGTATTTCCACATTTTGCAGCCAAATTGGTATACGTTTTTATATTTGTTACATGTTTTCTTTAACATAGCTAAAATATTCAAACATTACTACTTACCACTTACATTTTAAATCAAGTTTAAATTAATTTTTATTAGTTTTCAGGAAAAAACCTACTAGGTTGAAGGTGGAGGCCATAAATAACATGGAGGCTTAGAGGTTATTGCACAGAACCATGGATGTTCTCTTCTGGGGTTCTCTGCCGGTGCTTTCTGCTCCGCCTCATCACTTTGCAAACACCCCCCCCCCCCTTGCTGCCGCTGCTCCCTGCTCACTGGATTTCACTGACTGTAAGATGAGCCAATGGCTCCTGCTGCTCTCAATCCAGCTTGTAAGAGTGGGAAAAGATGCCGATGGGGACAGCCTTGAATCTTGGTAAAAGAAGCCTTGGTATTTAGAAAATGATGGTGGCTAGGGAGGTGGGGAACAGCAACTGGAAAGTTTTTTTTACCTTAATGCATTATGGTAAAAAAAAAAAAACCTTTTTGACTTTAGAACCACTTTTAAGGTAGTGTAAGAATCGTATGTTTAGACCTGGTGAAATTGATGTCATGTAGGAGTCGGCTGTACCTAAGAGAACTGCATGGATGTTTTTCAACTAATAAAGGGTTATTTAGTCTTCTTTAGAAAACAAAAAAGGATAATGGAGAAAGATGAAAGGGGCAGGGTATATAAATATAGGGATATCGATAGGGCACCATCCCTATCCGTGCCCTCCTTGGAGAAGTCCAGGAAGCATAGGTAGAGCATTGTATGAGTACTTCACAGATATAAAGTAAGTTCGGCAGAGTGCCTGAAATGAAACCAGGTAGACAACATCACATTAAAATTATCCATCATATCTTTGCTAGAATCAAATTTTCAAATTTTATTTGATACAGAGTCCATCTCGCATACCCACTCTGAAAGTGAAGGTGAGTCTGTCCTTCACCAATGTCTGGCAATAACAGTTTGAGATGATACTAAGAAATGTCAGAGTAGGCTCCACTAATCAGTCTATAAGAGCCCAGGATCATAGAGAAAATTGCAATTTGGGGCTTGTTTGGGATCCTGTCATCTGTAAGTTTGTGGTAGAATTGGATGGGCACACTCTGCAGATGTGTGACATTGAGCCAGTTGATGCTAGGCATCTCCAGAAAGTATGTGGAATAGAAGGGTTAAACCTGTGCAGGATTGCAGGACATTAGTACCAGTAAGATGGTTGCATTCCTGTGCTCTGGGCAAGATTAGCTTTTTATGTGTAAACATCATTGTCCACTTTCTCAGGGGTAAAGCTCAGGTCTGTCTTCCAGTTGGAGAGAAATTTCAGGGTTTGGGGATGGGTTTCCCAGAGTAACGATTTGGACAGGGTAGGCACCGCATGGCCATCCACCTGCAAGAATAACTTTTCAAAGTCAGTAGGCGACCTAGAGAGTAGGCTAGAAGGGGTAAGAACCCAGGAAATAGGTCAATTGAGAATACTCCTTCTAAACAATCTGCTTGTGGCAGAAGTATAGGAGTTCAGATAGCGCTTGTAGCTTGCCATGATTGCGGATTTGGCTTTGAATTGATTTAGCGACAGGGGAAGACTGTTACAAAAAGTGGGATCAGAGGGCTTGATTTAGTTGATAGATGTCCTTTAGCTAAATAGAAGTTCCAAACTTTTTAGAGTAGCTGCTGACAGTAGCAGTAGTTGTTTAATGTGGGTCTCTTTTCAAAATGTGTCTAAAGCAGAGGAATGAGGGTGGGAGAGATGACTTTCCTCTATAGCGACCCATACCTTTTTGGGCCTATTGTGGACCCAATCCAGGATCCTGACCAGAATGGCAGTGTAGTGATAGAGGTATATAAGGCAGAGTCAATGCACCTTCTTATTTAGGTAGCAATAAGAAAGTCCTAGCAATCCTTTATTCATGACACCAAATAAAATTGCATACCATAGTATTCATTTGAGGTATGACACCTGACGCTGATGTAACTGTGACAGTTTGACAGCAGAAAAGTATTAGACTGTCCCTTTTCACTAATATTTGTGACCTAGCCTAAATGACTAGTCATAGCAATAATAAAACATTGTACAACCCTATACAAGTGCCTGGCCACAGGTATACGGATACATGCCTTGGGTGGAGTCAGAAAAGAAATAAGTAACAAATCTCAAAACACTAACGGTGTAAAAAGACATATGTGCTGGGGTAGCACTTGGGAAACCCAGGGAATGTGGTCTTGCAGGAGTTAATCTGAAGTTAGCATAGTTCTGTTCTCCATAATTTGGTATAGACAGAGCAAGAGTTATGGAGGAACCAGGCTTCTCCAAAGCATAAGGATGCAGAAAGTAACAAAATAATTAGTCTCTATTGATCAGACATCTAAACATCACATGCTCAATCATGGTCATTTATATACTTGCAAATTTAGAGGAGTAATGGTGAAACACCCTTTAGAAGTAAGGCTGCATGACTGATGCACATATTAAAGGCATTTGGCAAAAATAAGTTGTGCAAAGGGGTGTACATTGCCACAATGAGAGCTCAACATGGTAGGTTAAAGTGATTGTAAAGGCTCAAGGTTTTTTTACCTTCATGCAATCGCTGCACAGAGGTTTTTGACTTCATGCATAATCGCCCCCCCCCAACTCTCACCTAAGCCTTCTCTTGATCCAGCGATGTGCACTAGAGTTTTGGCTATCCCAGGACTCCTTCTCATTGGCTGAGACAGCAGTGGGAGTCTTTGGCTCCTGCTGCTGTCAATCACTGCCAGTGAGCTAATAAGAGAGGTGGGCGAGCTGCGGCTGAATGTGTGAATGGACACACGGAACAGCGGGTGCCCCTGTAGCAAGCTGCTTGCTGTGGGGGCACCCGACAGGAGGGAAAGGGCCAGGAAAGCCTGACTGGGACCCAAGAAGAGGAGGATCAGAGCTGCTGTGTGGAAAACCACTGCACACATCAGGTAAGTTTTTAACATGTTTGTTATTTTTAGAAAATAAATGTAAGCCTTTAATAGAGATTGTGCATACAACTTCAAAAGTCAAGAAAGCTCAAGGCATAGAATACCCACACACTCCCACCATTCCATTTTAGTTGCCCTTTTCTAGTCCAAACACTGAAAAATCGTATTTGGTTGTCCTCGTTTATTTTACACTCCCATTCCTTCGGGTTACCTCCTTGCACTGGTCACTGGGGCAATATTCCGAAATTACTCTTCCTAAGGCTGCTTTCACACTGCAGCACTTGTATAATGATGAATGAATAGCATGTTTTAAATGCATTATGTAAATATAGCACAATGCATCTTAGGTGAATAGCTAGTTAAGGACACCACTGGGTTCTGTCTCTTTTACAACCAGCAATTCACTGGTTAAGGGCGCTGGCAGGTGCCCACTCCTTAACCAGCATCTTTGTGCCACGTGACCCCAAAAATTTAAATTCTTGATGCATTTTTGGTGTTTTTCCCATTGACTTAAATAAAAAGTGCATCTTTTGGTGCTCTTTTGGAAAAGTGCACCAAAGATGCAGCAGGCAGGACTTTTCAAACTTCAGTACAAACGCTGTGCAGCGATGAAAAGTCGCAAAGGATTTAAAGGGTAATAATAATTTGATGCACTTTCGTTGCTCTGGGAAAGGTGTTTTTTTAGCGCAGAAAAAGTGCACCAGTGTGAAAGGCCCTAACTCTTTAATTTTTTTTTTTTTATAGATTTCACCTGAAGTTGTTGCAAAAATGTCTCCATCACCAAGTAAATCTAGCAAGTCTCCAAAACGAAAGTCCAGCCCAAAGTCCAATAATCCCACCAGCAAGAAAGAAAAGAGGAGTACATCAGGAGCATCTCCGCCACCTTCAGATCTACCAACCAGGTCAGAGTAAGTGTGTTGTGTTTTTTTTTTTTTTTTTGTTTTTTTTTAAATTGTAAAAAGTTGCAAATGCTAATAAAGCATTTCAAAATTCAATAATTAGTGGTATCATTTTACAGAGTGTTGAAGTCCAAAATATGACACTGCAGATGTATATATTGCAATATACGTACAATAGATGTGATTTTCTTTCCTGCAGCCATGGGTTCCCCACGTAGCAGGGAGCTTTCCGTGCTGGGAGAAGACTATGATTATAGTGAGAGGCTGTAGCCGCTGGCAATAATCGCATCTAAAAAATCCAAAATGCTGGTTGTACCGAAGTCGATTACGGTCCCTGTTGAACTGGCCAAGATTCAAACCATCTATGGCTGGCTTAAAAAAAAAAAAAAAAAAAAATATATATATATATATATATTCACTGTGTACTGTCAGCATATTTGAATATTAAAAGTGTAGAAAAAATTGAGTAGGGTATTCCCTCTACTCCATTATACAACATAAAGTGCAACTAAAGGCAAATGTTTTTAGTTTTGGATGGAGTGGAGAGGGATTAGATCATATGTCCGTTTTGATTGCTGCTTGTCCCTCAGAGAATCAACCTGTCTATTTTGTTCTGTTTACTGTTATTATTGAAAGTGAAAGAAAAGGAAAATCTGAAATTTTGGGTTGACATTAGAACACTAATAAAGGAGAAGTTTTCCAGTGAAGAGCCTATTTCTTTTGGCACACTGGAATTAGCTCACTTTGGAGGGAATTCCATTCACTTCCTATTTTGGCTGTGGGACAGAAGGTGAAGGGAAATCTCCCCATTGGAACACAGCAGAAGAAAAAATCTGGGCATTATAACCTCCCTTATGTGATAAAAAATGGACAAAATTTTTGGTTAAATTTTAAATTTAAAGTTCGTTTAGGGCAATACAGCAGGTTTGTATTGCTATAGGACATATTGATCCCCAGCATATATTTCTTTCCTTCTGGTGTCCCGCCACTTTGTTCATCAGCAGTAGCTAAACAACTACCTGGTAGTTTCAGCTATGAAAAAGCATGCGACAGCGCTTAGCCAGTCAGCAATGTCATATAAGAAGGCCATAGCTCTGTTATCAAGGCAGCTTGTGACGTACAGACTTCACTTTGCTACTGGTTGCTAAATGAATAAAATAGAAGACAAATGTATGTTGCTGTAGATGCAGTACCTTTTAATCTGGTCCTCTACCCTAAAAGGTGGGGTTCCTTTTGGTTGGCCAACATCATCCAATCCACTTTTTGCTTTGAGTTCAACCTGTGATGGACACATGCTCTATGGTGTTATCATCACACTGGGCTGGGCTCAAAGTACTGCACTGAATGGGGCTCGCACATCTTATGAGCACCATTAAGTAGAAGCACCCTTGACATCAGGGGACATGTGTAAATTTATATATGTATGTGTTTGTTTTTTTTTTTCCAAGAAAATAAAATCCGTTATGTACATACTGTAAGGGGAATACTCCCATGACTGTTTTTCTGAAATCTACCACAGACATTCCAAAGGAGCTCAAAGCAAGAAAAAAAGGACCTCGGACTCCAAGTCCACCACCCCCAGCTCAAGAAGAAGTTCCTGTTTCGAAGAAACATAAAGATAAGCATAAGACAAAGGATCGTGTTGAGGAGAGAGTCAAGGAAGTAAAGGAAAGGGGCAGGGATGTTGAAAAGCACAGAGACCGAAAAGAGAGGCAGAGGTTAGCATTATATGCTTAGTTGTATCTTTCTGCAACCTATTAGTGACTTATTTGTTATAGCATTACTGTTTACTTATCTGGTTAAATGGTTAGCACCACTCCTGGCAGTACTAGGATTGTTGTTTCTAATCCCAACCACGGTTTCCTTCCACACTCTGGTAGGTTAATTGGTTCCTGTCTAAATTGGTGCTAGTATGGATATGTATGAATGTGAGTTAGGGACCTTAGATTGTACCCCCTTGGGGGTTAGGGACTGATATGAATGTGTCGCACACGTAAAGCATTGTGTCAATTGACAGTACTGTATAAGCACCTGTAAAAAAATAAATAATTAAAGTTTAATGGCACTTGGCTTGTCATAGAACAGGGGTCTCCAAACTATGGTCCTCCAGGTGTTGAGGAACTGCATGTCCCATGAGGCCTTGCAAAAATCTGACAGCCACAGGCAAGACGCCCAGAGGCATGATGGGACTTGTAGTACTTCAACAGCTGGAGGGCCATAGTTTTGTGTACCAAAAGCTGAGCTTCAGTGAGTGTAACCACGGGTGGTGGGGCCTAGAATTTTTCACTAGCACTTTAGATTGTGAACTGTTGATATGCTGTGTTATATCTCAGGAATTGATATTACTGGACCTTGAGTCACAAGAGATGATAGAAGATTGAAGAAAAAAATATTGCCTTATTTATAGCAGATTTTTGTACATGGGCCTTTTTGCATAGCACTTGATTTTACTTTCTGGTTGGCTTACATGTAAGACTGCACTTTATTGGGCTTTTTCATATTTATGTACTTTTAAGGGTATACACCATAGGATTTGTTGTTTGTTCAAGAGCTGCACCTTTATTAATATATGCATGTATTGGGTGTCTGGGGGGTGGAGGATGTGTAATATATGAAAATATATATATATTCGCATCAAGTCAGTTAAACTCCTGGGATATTGATCTGGTCAGTTAAGTAGCAGAGGGAGTGGTTAATCCGTCTCATCTGCTTTGGGGTTAATGAAATTAACAGGTGCACTAGATAAGCAGCAATGAGATGACCCCTAAAACAGGAATGGTTTTACAGGTGGAGGCCACTGACTTTTTTTTTTCCCTACTCTTTTCGGTTTTTGACTAGTTTTTGCATTTGGCTAGGGTCAGTGTCACTACTGGTAGCATGAGGCGATAACTGGACCCTACAGAGGTTGCACAGGCAGTCCAACTCCTCCAGGATGGCACATCAATACGTGCCATTGCCAGAAGGTTTGCTGTGTCTCCCAGCACTCAAGAGCATGGAGGAGATTCCAGAAGACAGGCAGTTACTCTAGGAGAGCTGGACAGGGCCGTAGAAGGTCCTTAAACCATCAGCAGGACCGGTATCTGTTTCTTTGTGCAAGGAGGAACAGGATGAGCACTGCAAGAGCTCTAGAAAATTATCTCCAGCAGACAACTGGTGTGAATGTCTTGGACCACACCATCAGAGACAGACTTCATGAGGGTGACCTGAGGGCCGGACGTCCTCTAGTGGGCACTGTGCTCACTGCCTGGCACTATAGAGCTCAATTGGCATTTGCCATTGAACACCAGAATTGGCAGATCCGCCACTGGTTCTATGTGCTTTTCAAAGATGAGAGCAGGTTCACCCTGAGCACACGTGACAGACGTGAAAGAGTCTGGAGAAGGTTATGTTGCCTGTAACATTGTTCAGCATGACCGTTTTGGTTGTGGATCAGTGATGGTCAGGGGAGGAATATCCATGGAGGGATGCACAGACCTCTACAGGCTAGACAATGACACCCTGACTGCCATTAGGTATCGGGATGAAATCCTTGAACCCGTTGTCAGACCCTACGCTGGTGCAGTGGGTCCTGAATTCCTCCTGGGGCACAATGCCCGGCCTCATGTGGCAAGAGTATGCAGGCAGTTCCTGGGGGATGAAGAAATTGATACCATTCAATGGCCCCTACACTTGCCTGACCTAAATCCAATCGAACACCTCTAGGATATCATGTTTTGGGCCATCCGACGCTGCCAGGTTGTACCTCAGACTGTCCAGGAGCTCAGTGATGCCCTGGTCCAGATCTGGGAGGAAATACCCCAGGACACCATCCGTCGTCATTAGGAGCATGCCCCGACATCATGCATGCAAACAAGCATGTGCGGGCCATGAAAACGAGGCTTGTGTGTGTGTTTTTAATAATTTATTTTTATCTATTAGCAAAATGGAAAGTGAACAAAAGAGAAATCTAAATCAAATATTTTGGTGTGACCAACCTTTGTCTTGAAAACAGTACTTGCACACACACTTGAGTCACTTAGCCTTGTTTCCATGTCCTATGCACAAAAACATAGGTATCGAAGTGCAGAAAAATAGCAGCTGGCTGTCTGGACTGATGAGTCAAAATTTGAAATTATTTGACTGTAGCAGGAGGCAGTTTTGTTTGAAGTGCTGGAGAGCAGTACAATAATGTGTCTGCAGGCGACAAAGAAACATGGTGTAGGTTCCTTGCAAATTTGGGGCTGCATTCCTGTAAATGGAGTTGGAGACTTGATCAGGATTAATGGTGTCCTCAGTACTGAGAGATACAGGCAGATACTTGTCCATCATGCCATACCATCAACGAGGCATGTGATTGGCCCCAAATTTATTCTGCAGCAGCACAATGACCCCAAACATTGAGAGATCTTCAGCTTAAAGAAGAACAAGGAGTCCTGGAAGTAATGGTTTGGCCCCCATAGAACCTTGATCTTGACATAGAATCTGTCTGGGATTACATAGTGACAGAAGGATTTGAGGCAGCCTGCATCCACAGAAGATCTGTGGTTAGGTCTCCAAGATGTTTTGGATAACCTACTTGCTGAGCTCCCTCCAAAAGGGCATAAATTCTTCTAGGTACACTTGCACACAGTTTAAGTCAAATGGTGGTCACACCAAATATTTGATTTGGATTTCTCTTGTGTTTATTTTGATCAATTAATAAAATGGAAAGTAAATGAAGTATTAACACTTCTATTTCTGAAAACAATTTTAACTTACAGCATTTTCACACCTGCCTGAAACACTTGCACAGTATTGTGTATATATATAAACAGTATATTATTTTTTCTTATGTCTTAAAATATACCCGTCCCGCTGGCAGCATTTCTGATCTTAATTCATAGCCTGGTCCACGCTGTGCTCTGGTTCTTTATCGGCTCCTTCTCCATTACTGCGCCCCATAGTGACAAAAGTGCTGACAGAATTTTTTTATTTTTTTTTGTTTTTATTTTTTTTTTTTTTAATCGGGGTTCTTCGGCTGTGGTAGATCTGCAGATAGGACAGATCTGCAATGCAGGGAAAAGGACAGTTGCATATTAGGCTTTGTTTGACAATCAGCAATTTTTCCCATGGTAATTTAGAAGATAGCAGTCCCATTAATTTGTAGTAGTATTTTTATTTAAATACAGTATTTATATTGTGCCAACAGTCTACACGGCACTTTTCAAAATGGAGACAATACAGATACAATACAGTCAATACAAGGAGAATCGGAGGGCCCTGCTTGTCAGAGCCTACAGTCTAAAAGGAAGGGTCAAATGATACAAAAGGTAATTGAGGAATCAGCTGATGGAGAGAATAAATGTTCAATTTATTTGTTTGAAACCTAGAAAAATATGTTTGAAGCTATTTACTGTTGACCGAGGTGGGATAGGCTTCTGGACAGCTGCTGCTGTATTTTTCTTTGCAACAATCTCTAAAATTTTGCTCTGTGGTTTTGTAAGATTTCATTTTGAGTGAAACAAGGTTTTCTTTTATATTAGGGATACTTCAGAAGGATCTCATAGGCAGAAAAGGTCTCCAAGCCCAACTGAGCACTCGGGCAGTAATTCTTCCCATTCAAGAGACTATTCTCCACCTACATCCCGAAGACGTCATACATCCTCACCAACACCTGTCAAATCCTCATCTCACAAGCATGGTATCTCCCCTTCCCGCAGGTAGGTTTTCTTTTCTTTCCCAGATGGATTGAGAGGGAACTTTTTTTTTTGGGGGGAATTCTTGTGCTTGACAAAAATGACTACATTGAACAATAGTTCCCTTGACATGACCTGTCTGAGAAGAAAAACTGTCACAAAAACCATTTGCGTAAATCCCATACCTTACATGGCTGTTCTAGTTACAAGATAAAGTGTACTCTGCTTTTCAGATGGCAGTATATATTGCTATATGGCATGCTTTCAAATGATGCATTTTGACTTTCATGTGTGTAAAAGTCCAGTGCTGGATGTGATAATTTCAGGTTTGGAGTTCAGGTCATTCTTTCTTTCATTACGATTTATTGGATTAAAACTTGGTTTGGGCTCCCCAACTTAGTGATATGACGCAACAGCCATGTACAATATGTAAACATTCTTGAATGAATTGTAGGATCAGCAAGTGCTGTATTTTCAATGTACAATGTTATTTTATGTTCCCTTAATATCGCATTGCTTGGTTTAGCTGTATTTAGCACATTTTAACAGTTTTTTTTTTTTTTTTTTTATGTATAAAAGTCGGTTTACAAAAGCTGTTGCAAGTTATCATTCTTTAAAATCTTGTAGAAGTTAACCTAATCGCCGCAGTTTCATATAAGCTCTCATGTTGTTTCTACACTTGTTTTCAAAACCGTAATTTTTCTGATAAAATGGCAATTATTTTGATACACTGTGCTCAGGCAAGCTAACTGTCATTCCCGTAGGGTTTACATCTTCAATAATTCTGTTTCCATAATATGTTTGTCGATAAGAACAAAAAATTGAGCCATTTAATGTGGAGAACAAATACTAATTGACACTTCTGCCTAGTTGTCAACAACACTTGGTTGCTCAGGCCAAATATTTGGTACCTCTGTGCCCCCTTCTTGTGCATCTGCTCTGTAATAAAGTTTAAGATATAAAGCTGACAAGTCACTATTGAGATGGGGAAGCCGAATGAGTTAGGATATTGGTTAGAGCCTTATTCACACTTGCGAATGGGGCTTTTGGCAATTCACATGTGT